GGTGATCTTCTTGTCTACCTGACCCATAGATGGGCGGAGGCAGTAGAGTCCAAGGGGGAGGCGTTGGCCGTTAGTCTGGACATTGCGAAGGCCTTTGATCGGGTTTGGCACAAAGCGCTTCTTTCAAAGCTGCCTTCCTATGGGCTTCCCGAGAAATTGTGCAATTGGATCACCAGCTTTCTTGCAGATCGGAGCATCAAGGTCGTTGTAGACGGTGCATGTTCTGACTACAAGCCTATTAACGCTGGTGTTCCACAAGGCTGTGTGCTATCACCAACGCTGTTTCTTCTGCATATCAATGATATGTTGCTAACTGGTAACATTCATTGCTATGCGGATGACAGCACTGGTGATGCTCTATACACCGGCCGGGCCAATATTTCTCGGGAAAACGTCGCCGAGTACCGGAACAAACTTGTGTCTGAAGTCGAGTCTTTGCTGGACAAAGTCTCGGATTGGGGGCGACTAAATCTAGTCCAGTTTAATCCTCAGAAGACACAAGTTTGCGCGTTTACCGCTAAAAAGAACCCCTTTGTCGTATCTCCTCAGTTTCAAGGCACTCCCCTTCTTGCCTCAGCCAGTATCGGTATCCTCGGAGTCGACATATCGAGTGACGTGCAGTTTCGTGGTCACTTGGAAGAGAAGGCCAAATTGGCCTCTAAAAAGCTTGGCGTGCTCAGCAGAGCGGGACAGTATTTCATGCCGGCACACCGCCTGCAACTTTACAAGGCGCAGGTTCGGCCTCACATGGAATACTGTTCCCATCTCTGGGCAGGGACTCCCCAGTGCCAGCTCCTTCCACTTGACCGCATCCAGCGCAGAGCGGCTCGAATCGTCGACGACCGAGCCCTTTCCGATCGGCTAGATTCATTGGCACTGCGAAGAGATGTTGCATCTCTTTGCATTTTCTTTCGCATCTACCATGGGGAGTGCTCTGAGGAATTGTTCGGATTAATCCCAGCCGCCAAATTTCACGAACGCACATCGCGGCAGAACTCCCGATACCATCCACACCATCTGGATGATTGGCGGTCCACCACTGTGCGATTTAGAAGATGTTTTCTTCCTCGCACAACTTCCTTGTGGAATAGTTTACCACCAGGGATTTTTCCGGACCGATACGACTTAGGGACCTTCAAGAAAAGAGCCTACTCCTTTTTAAAAGGCCGGCAACGCATCTGCAATTCCCCTGGTGTTGCGGTTGTTCATGGGCGGCGGTAGTCACTTCCCATCAGGTGAGCCGCATGCTCGTTTGCCCCCTCTCATATAAAAAAAAAAAAAAAATTCGTCTGCCAGTACGAGGCTGCCACTCGAGAACATTTTTCCCCATCGGTTGTCGATTCTTCGAGCTTTATGGCCAGGCCATTGCCACTTCAGCTTACTAATTCATTGGGCTATGTCGGTCACTCTGGTTCGACTGCGGGTATCCTCATTTCCAAGTTTATCACGCAGAGAAACTCTGAGCACAGCCCTCTCCATGGCTCGCTGAGCAACCTTGAGTCGCGGAGGAAGAGGAGTGTTGGTAAAGCGATGTTCCACTCGCCCTATCCTCCGCGACTCTGACGGGGCCGCACCGTTATTTAAGTGGTGGTGGGGCTGCGGGAGGAGAGGAATGTCGGTATTGCGAGGCGCCGCTCTCCCTACCCTCTGCAGCCGAATCTTGGTTGGCGGCGGAGCCATAGACCAGATCCGCCGCTGGAGTGAGGAAGGTTGTTGCTTCTGAGTGCTTGTTTTTCCTGGCCCCATGACCTTCGCGCATCAGATACGGGGGCGTCCGTGGCGCATGTGAAATTGGAGGCCGAGGAGGAGGGCGCACCATGTGTTCTGGTGCGCCTTACCTGAGAAGGAGATGGGGGAGGAGTAGTCCTCTCCCGAGGAGAGACCGCCATGGGGCGGCCAGCACAGGTAGGGCCGCGGATGTGTGCGAAAGCGTTCCCGTGGCCCTGCCAATATGCGACGAGGGTGGAACACTATGGGGTTTTAGTCGGTGCGAGTCCGACATAACCCGTCCCTGCCCCCGCGAGGCGTGTATGCGTAGGCATTTCCCCATGTAAAAAAAAGGTGTGACATGGACGTTATAAATGATCTTTGTTTTGTCCATGTTCATCTTAAGATCTATCCGTAAGGAGGCACTATTGAGGTCATTGAACATAGTGCTTAGATCCTCCAGCGATTAGGCCATAAGGACTATATCGTCGGCAAATCGAAGGTGAGTGATGTACTCACCATTGATGTTAATACCGTATCCTTTCCAGTCCAGAAGCTTGAAAACGTCTTCTAATGCAGTGGTGAAGAGTTTCGGGGATATAACGCTACCCTGTCATACACCTCTCTGCAATTGGATAGGTTTCGAACTCTGGTTCTGTACTCGGATAGCCATCGTAGCCCTACTGTACAAGCACTTCAGCACTTCGATATACCGACACTCAACTTGGCACCGTTGAAGGGGCTGCAGCACCGCACATATTTCGACGGCTTTCTCATAGTCCACCAACGCCAAACATAGTGGCAAATTGTACTCTTTGGCCTTCTGTACAATTTGCCGAAGGATATGTATCTGGTCTATGGTGCTAAAGCCTTTTCGGAAACCGGCTTGTTCGGGAGGCTGGAAGTCGTCAAGTCTGCACGCGAGACAATTCTTTTTTTTTATAGGAGAGGGGGCAAACGAGCATGCGGCTCACCTGATGGTAAGTGACTACCACCGCCCATGAATAACCGCAACACCAGGGGAATTGCAGATACGTTGCCAGACTTTGAAATTCACAATGACTCTCGAAAACAGCACGTAGATGCGGCTCAGAAGGGAAATCGGTCTGTAGTTCTTCAAGATAGCATTGTCGTCTTCTTGAAGAACAAGACCACCGTACTTCTACTCTACGCCTGCGGTGTAGTGACACCATAGAGTTCTTCTGCGGCGGGTCTTGCAAATCTTAGCTCCGACCGCATGGATAGTTTCCACGAGCTTGTCATTTATGTCGTGCATTGCAATCTTCTAGACACTGAAAAAGGTTTTGTAGCTCGAGCGGAAAGGTTTCGGGACTTTGGATTAGAGCACGGGGGGACAGAGCGTTGACTTCATTAGACAACTAAACTTTTCCAACTTAACATTTCGGTTCAGCGTGACTCTAAGCGTTTAGTGATCGCTACCAGTTTTCATCCTCGCGATCACTGAGACATCACTGAACAGCTGTCGTCTGGTCGTCATAATGAAGTCAATATCATTTTTGTCGAACCGTCGGGGCTCGACCAGAAATAGTTCATTATGAAAAGTTTCTATTTCTCCATGAAGCCGGCCAGCTGCTGGCGCCTTGGGTTCCGTTGCCCTATTCCAAATTTCCCTACCTTCAGTCCACCGTTCTCTCTTGTGCTTAGCTTTGCATTGAAGTCTCTCATTAACACTGTATAGTGGGTTTTGGAGGAATGCATGGTTCTAGATATATCCTCATACATTTCCTCCATCTCCTCATTGGGATGTGCCGAGGTTGGTGCGTAAACCTGTATGACTTTCAACGAATACCGTTTGGTGATTCTAAGTATAAGGTAGGCAACCCTCGTCGATACACTCTCAATCTTTACAACGTTGTTAACGAAAGACTTGTGGACGGTAAATCCAACACCTCCTGGGGACAGATGATCGCCCTCCCGGTAATAGAAAAAGTTGCCGGATTCGAGGATTACCATGTCCTCTCCCTCTCTTTGAACCTCGGATAATCCTTTAATATTGCAGCGCAATTTCTATCTCTTCTTCTAGCTCCAGGATCTTCTCGTTAATCCTTTGATTTTTTTAATTTGCACAACGTTTTGGCGACTTTATCAAAAGACAAATTTATATAGGTTCGTAAAACATATAAATTTTGTTATTGTTTTAATTTTTTTTTTAAATGCACATAGTTAATACATTTCAGTTTTATATAGCTTACCTTTGTTTTTATAGTTTTCTTTCTTTTTATGTTCAAAGATCTAAAGCAATAAGCAGTTCTGTTATTGTTGTTTTGTGTAATACAATCTGTCTGATAAGGTGTATAAAATAGCGCTTAATGAACTATGGTCTCAGGTTTTCTCGATACAGGCTTGTATAGTGAGGAAACCAACAGATAATTATTTTTCTTACTGCTAATAAAACATTTTTTATTTTTCATCCTCAGGGTGCGTGCGTTATATGTTACCAAGTCGAGTCGTCTTAGGTGGCAACCGAACCTCTACCGGAAATTCTTAGCACTGTTACCATGCTCGCCACTGTAGCCAGGAATAGCGAAGCCACCGGAGACTGGGGGTCGTCTGTTCGTAACTTAATTAATTTGGGGGTATATTGCCATAGTTGCCTTTAGTTATTATTATTATTAATAGTTGTTATTTTGCTGTTATCAGAAAGATGCTGCTGCTCATCTTCTGCCTCAGTTTCCTTCTGTCAACTCTTACGATACCCACGGGAAGATATGGGGTGGTGGGTATTCTTTCCCGCCACTACACGGGTAGAAATATAAGATAAACCATATTAGATATTTATATATACTGCGCTTTGTAGCGCGGTGGCTAAGCGATTGACTGCTGATTTGTGTAAGTAACACGGATCTATAATAAAGAAAAAACCACGTAGGCAATCATTTTTAACAAAAAATATATTAAAATGAGAATGTTAAATAGGTAACTAATTATATATATATAACTTTCTTATTTATAACAAAATATTCTTTCACTACAGCCTATTGAAGTCCACTGCTGAACATTATTGCCATAGTTGCCACGGTTGGCAGCCACAGTATTTTCAATTTCTAGTTGTTATTAAGAAGACACTGCTGCCAACCTCCTAGTTTTGTACCCTCTGTTGGCTCTTACGACACCCACGGGACGATTTGTGTTAGATATTCTTACACCGCCACCACACGGTTGATCACGTTTAATACTTTAGCGATCAATTTATGTAAAATATGGAAATATAATATGATTACGTTATCCCACAAATTAGCGTGCAGCGTAGGGATTCTCTGGCAAGGGACGTTGGCATTCGAAGTGTCGCGAGCAACGCGCGCACTTGTCGCTTTTGCTAGATTTTCGCTCAAACAATAAAATTATAAGCATCTAAAAATAACGGCGGGGAGCGCTGCCGACGGCACGATCGGAAAACTGGACGTTGCGCCAGTCTGGAGGTCTGGAGGCGTGCGGAGCGCCCGCGCATCAACAATCGACTACTCCCAGGTCTGTACCTCACCTGTTCCATCTTACAATGTCATTATCACTATTATTATAATACGCGCAAAACAAAACTTCGAACGCCACGTGTACACTTTTGCGTGTCAATGGTCGACGTCTAATGATGTCGTTTTGGCACGAAAAATAAATGTTACTAAAATTCTGCTCACAAAAATCTAAATTGTAGTTGTTAGTTGTATGCCAGAGTAATTAGATAAATATAACTTGCAATAACTAAAGCTTTGAGAAAATGTTAACATAACTTTTACCCTCTATCTACATAGTTTGCCTTCGGTACACAATTAAAAATATTTGTAATAAGTTCATTATTTTTGTAAGTTAAACTTTCAGTTAATTATGTAAGTTTTATTCTGTAAGTTTCAAATTAATACGTGCTTGCGGCTTAATATAATTCAATCAAAATATTTTGTTGCTAACTTCTTTATAAGCTACCTCTGTTTTTCGAGGCCCGAAGGTTTCTTCAAAAGCTTTATATAATGTTAAATAATATTAACCTTAATATATGCTTTAAAATAGTGTAATCAAAGAAAATGAAACCCCTTTTCTAACACTGGCATTTTATCAATGATTTAAACATTATCAGAACGCACATTTGAATCAAGATATCTCTCTCATTGCGAAGAAAGTAAATGATATTTTTACGATAGCGTAGGTGGTGGATATTTTGTAACGATTCTTGATGTTGTCGCAATATTAACGTAATATGAAGTTAATAATAAATATGTGTTTGAGTAGCCAGCAAGAGTTTCTCACTTTACGTTATAGTTTTTAATAATTCTTCTCTCTTTGTTAAATGTGTTATTTCGATAAAACAAAATGTAGTATGATCAGTAACAACAATTTTTGTTATCAAAAGTAGAAACAGAAATGTAAATATAATTAAGTTTCAGCACTTATCTTTGTTCTATGTACATATAAATGAAATTGAAGTGCCTGTCCGTAATATAGATATAACTGTTATTTTTAAGCTCAGGGTTATTTGCATGCTACTAAGTCATGAATAACCGTTTTAAAAAAATGTATCTTTTGTTTGTCTTCTAATCTTCAGAACGGCCCGAACAATTGCTATGAAACTTCACAAACAGATAGAGAGAAATGGCAAATAAATTAAGCGGTCTTTAATGATTAAACGACGATGATGGCGCCACGTTAATAGATCCCACCCAGGCGAAGCCACTTAAGCTCTACGATGTGTACACAATTCTGACATAATTATTAAAGGCTTTTTGTTTTAACTCCATTAAAGTATAATTCTAAAGGGTATAAATTATCATTATAAAGTTTTATGACTTCAATTTTTTTTAAATAGCCAAATTTAAACTTAGTAAAGTATAAGTTATATTTGATCTAAAATAAAAGGAGATCAAAAATTATGGCTTAGCAGCGATGCACCATTTTGGTTGTTTGCCAGCTAGCTGTGAACTGCGGAACAGCCTATTATATGGACAAAAAAAATATTCCGGTTCTAGATATTTGTTCAATAGCAATTCACACTTGTACGTAACACACTTTATCAATATAAGGAAAATCCTAAGGTTTGTATAACGTTTAAAAAGCCTGTTAGAGTTTTAGGCTTAACAGTTATGAAAAACTTAATACAAGGTTGTAATACCGCTATATTTTTTCCTCATTTATGAAGAGTGTGAACAGGCATTAACTTACTGATTAACGCTGGGAAGTATACTAGGTCCAGTAGTTTAAACGTTTTATACGTAAACTTACTGAATACATAATAAACGTAGGTAAACACAGTAGTACGTGAGTGACGTATTTAGCTACCTGTGTATGTTTGTGGGTGCGGTAGGCAGGTGTCTGGCCGTATAGATAATAATACTTATATACGCTTCCTACACGCATTTGATTCACAAGTAGCCACTTAGCATGAGGTGCACTGGAAGTTCTAGTATCATTGTAGTATTATATAAAAATAAAACAAAATTTAATTGAAAAATTTTTCTATATGATAAACATCTTTGAAGCTGTTAGCTAACGTATTTTTTTTTGATATTTTGTTTGATTTTTTTTAGTCACTACTAGTTGCTACAAAAGCTTTGTAATATTTCAAACGTACGATATATTATATAATATTACACGGTATGCGTGTTTAAAAGAAGTGGAGAGGGTTGGTTCAGTTCTCGTTCATGATGGACAAGAAGTGCCGAATTTTAATTTCGAAATTTTCGAATTTAGAATAACACATATAAATATCATAAATTTATATATGTAATATAAAATTCAAGTGGAGAATTAAAAAAATACAATATTAAATATGTAATGAAGAATAATAACTTTTTATTTTTTTATATTTTACTTATCACTAAATTCAATTTTATAGAGAATTCCAAGAATTTTTAATAATGCGCTCGACGATTTCTTGCTGGTGTTGTACTTTAAAGTCATTTAAATATTACGATGTTGTAAGTTTTTATTTTTTGATCACTTTATTTATATGAATGTTACATTCACAAATACATTAAATAAATGTAACATGTCTACACAACTTTTCACAAAGAAAAGGAATGAAAAGAAAATACGTATATCATATACAAAGGTCGTTATTTTTCCATTAAGTACTGAAATCATGTCTCCAAATTGTTATACCTACTTCTGTTGAAAACCAATGTGATTGTTTCATTTTATGCTAATATTGTAAAAGTATACAAAAGCTACATATTATAAAATAATAACTTTCTATCTGGTTTACTTTAGTTTATTAAAAGCGGTTGGTTAAATATACGTTTAAATTTAGAATTTCATGAGTAAAGTTATAATTAGTTGTGGGTCATGGATGTCGTAAACTCGTTCTGTCTGTTTCACTAACGCGTTAAATTGTTCGCGTTTGCTAAAATATAGTGAATGTATACTTTAATACTGTTTTCATCATCACCAACATTACATTTTTTCAAAAGTCCACTGTCTTTTATTCTTTTTTTAATAAAAATGTGAATGTCTTAAGGCAAGAGTAAACAGGTTTTTGTCTAGCAAAGCCTGTATGGTTTATCATCTTCGGCTATAATATGCTTATCATTGGGGTAGGATAAAAGTGAAGTATTGCCTTATAATGCTTAAAAATACAAACTAATAATGTATCACTTTTAATTTAAAAAAAATAAATAGTTTTGAAAAATGTATAATAATTAATTTTATTTATTTACAATTTAATTTTGAAAAAAAAAAACTTTTTAAGGAATTTAGCTTTTGGGAATCAAAAAAGTTAAGATTAATAATTTTATTTAAAAATCTATGGAGTGAGCTATGCCTGGAGTTTCTCTGCGTGAAAGACTTCTTAAAAGTAACTACATATACCAACGGAATGCAGTAAGCTGAAGTGGCAATAGACCGGGCATATTGTTAGAATAATCAATAACCGATGGAGAAAAAAGGTTTTAGAGTGGCAGCCCCGTAATAGTAAGCGAAGTGTGGGCGTCTAGATGGAATGATCGTGCTATATGGAGTCCCTTAGGGGAGGTCTATGTCCAGCAGTAGACATCTAATGGACTTTAATAATGAATATGATGATGATGAAGATAGGGTATGTAGTTATTTTAGATAAATATATAGTAATTACATTCGTTACTTGTGAGGTGGATAAAGGAAAAGAGATTATAGTAAGATGTAAATCCAAGATTTAGTAAGCCCTACTGTTAGCTTGAAGAACGACGTGGAGTCCCTTCCACATTGTCCTTCAAAGTAATTTTTTATATAATCGAGACCTGAGCCAAATTTTTTATTTTTTATTTTATTTTTAATCAGATTTTAAAATACCTTTTGTGAATAATTTTTTATTAAGTAGTTTAGATTTGTGTGCTTCAACCATGTAGATACATATATCTGTTTAATTTTAGAGTGAAAAATCCATTAGCTGCACGTAATGTACACAATGATTCGATTCGATTTCTTGAACTTACCTTTCGGTATTCGATTCGCACCCTCGAAAACATAGAGTCAGTGGTCTGTGGTAAGTATATGCTGGCAGTAAGAAGTGACATTGAATTCAGTGTCACTTCTTACTGCCAGCATATACTTACCACAGACCACTGACTCTATGTTTTCGAGGGTGCGAAACGTATACCGAAAGGTAAGTTATACGTAGTGAGATTTCACTACGTATAGATACTCTTTGCACATTATTGACAGACGTCTTAAGTTTTTATTTCTTTTTGTTTTTGTAATCATGTTAAGAAAGTTTCAGGAGCGGTGATTTATTAACTATTTCATTTCAATAATGGGTGAAAACTAATTCAGTACAATACTGACTTCCTTAGGATTGCATTACTTCTATGCGTACTATAATGAATAGATAATTCTAAATGCAACAGCTTCTATAGAATGTTCAAAACAAGTCTGTTGATTAAAAATATAACACCTTGGTTTGACCAGCAATAACAATTATACAGTGGAGTCAGCATCTTCTGTAACTTTATACTTCATAATATGTTGTGAGTAATCTAATATCAAATGCTTAATCGACACAATTCGTGATCAACATGTTGTTGTAAAAATATGGTTACATGCAAATACGAGTAATATCAAAAGCTTAGGCCAATTTGGCAAATCAACATGTTGTTATGGTATTACAGTTACTTCTAGATTTCATTACTAGTTTGTATTTTGGTAAACATACGTATAGTAATAATAATTTTCTGCTAATTCCGTATTTTAATATTTACCAAAGAAATTGTTGGTTTTTTATAGGTTGTTTGTTTAATATTTAAGTGTTCTAATCGCGGTGCGCCGCGGTCTTCATGTTATACGTTGTGAGTTAAAATCTCCGTCTTGTGATAACTGTCATTATGTCATGCCACCTAATATTGATTACGCACTTTTAGACCCGATTAATAAACGTTACTAAGCTCAAGTACACGCACTTGAGTGTAATCTTGAGGTTATGATCTTATTAATAAACATATCTCAAGATGCGGTTTAGGTTCACGATATCAGCTGAGTGCCACACTGATTAATAAACAAAACTCGACTCTCAAGTG